AGCAATCAAAGCAACAAATTACTGATATTTAGATTTCTTTTCAACTTAAACTAGTGGGGTTTTTTCCACTTAATCCCTGTATATTGAAAATGGCAGTCCACTTCACAGGCTACAGGCCATGCTGATGGAGAAAACAGACCCATCAATTAGAAACTGAATATGAATAAAGAAAGCCAGGAAAATAAAAACTTTTTGGACAAGTAGTTTTCCAAAGAAATCATCAGCAGGGAACAGAGAACTAGAAAGTATGACACCAGAGGAGAAAGTTTTACCAGCTATTCCTCAGGCCAGAATGAGTTTGGCACCTACATGCAATTTCAGTTTTTCAGGAAGCAACAACTGATGCAACTAACCCCAACCCCTTCTAAAGACAGACAAGCCTAATTAATTTTCAAAGCATTTAATACACAACTAAACAAGTCATTTGAAACAAATCAAGTGCAAGTCATCACTGCCCCCGATTCCTTTCTTCTCCATCCGTAACCTTACTTATAAATTGATTTTGCAAGTGACTTGACCAACTGGTAAGTGAGCTCTTGGGAGGGGATAAACATTAAAGGAGCAACAAGGAAAGAGGCCAAAAGGAACCCTGCCTCCCAGGTTTCACCCAGTGATCTCCACTGCACAACAGAGGCAGGTATAACAGTAAGAGGTTCCCACCCCATGAACTTTGGAAGTTTCCCAACTGCTGGAGACATTTATTCCATAAGCAGCAATGCTGCCTACGCCAAGAGCTTCTCCCTGGCACTCAATTACTTTTTCTTTCTATAAAGCAGCCAGTTAAATTACACATCAAATGATAATTCACCTTTGAACTGCTTAAGAAGTCAAGTCACAATATAGTGCAAAGAGCAAATGTCATATAGATGAAGGCAGGCAGAACTGTCAGACTGTTCACTACTGGATTGACAAAGTACCACTAATTAAAGGCAAAATAGCTGTCTATTCTAAAACAATCCTACAGCAAGAGTACAATCAAACTACCACTTCAAATAATGCGCATCAACTAAGTGAGCTGAGATCTGAACTTGCAAAAAAGAAAGTCTCAAAACAAAAAAAAAAAACAACAACAAAACAACCACGCCACCAAAACCCTCACAGACACACAAGCAGCAAATTACCATCTTAAAAATGGTCCCCAAACTCAACAGCTTCGTTCCATATATTCAGCAATGAAATCAAGGGAGAGCACACTGAGACACTTCTAATACTAAAAACAACAACAAAAAAAATTAAAATATAAAATGGTTACAAGTACCTGCAGCAGCCTCTTTTATAGAGGTGAGAACTCAACACTAACCCTTTTCTCCTTTTACCTAGCATTCCACACTACATGAAAAAAAAAAAAAAGGAAAGAAAAAGTCCACTTTCAAATCATTTAGTCCATCTTTAATCCCTGAATAAGCAGCACAGGAAAGAAAGCAGCTTTTTTCATTAAAAAAAACCTGTCAAATTCCTGAAGTAACATATTACATTTGGTTTATGTCACCTATTTTGGATGATTTCTACAGAAAGAAAAAGACAAGTAACCAATGAAAAGTGGCAAGTGTGATGCTTTTCACAAAAAATCAAATTATAAATGGCATATGGGAGATACAAGGCAGCATCAAGGATAAGTAATCTAATTCAGGGAATTTGTACATGTGAGGTCTCCACATTATTCCATGCCAACTAGTTTCTGACTCAGCTGCAAGAATATTTCGCTTTCCACTACATTTCCTAAATGCTATATGCAAACAACACTGACAGCTAACATGCCTGCTTGCAAAGCAATTCCTTGTAAAGAACAACAACAAAAAAAAACCACAAAAAAAACACACCAAAAAACCATAACTCTTTACAGCTGATACAGAATCATTTTAATCCAGGTTAACATACCCACATCAGGAAGCTTATTAAACTCAGGTGAACTGGAACCAGGAGACTTGAGTTTTTCTTGTTTAACCTCAACTCCAACACTGAACTTCTGCTAAAGTTTAGCCCCACCAAAGTTGAATAGCTAAAACATTACTAAGATTTCAAACACACAAAACAACACACACTCTATAACATAGTATACACACTGCTTTAAGAAACCCACCCAACTAGGGTGACCATCTTCTCTCAGTAACTACTACGTCTGCATTGCACTATAAAAGTACCTCCACCCCTCACACAGTTGCAACAATCTCTTGTAAGTAACAAAGCACAAACTGAAGGAGAGACTTCCTACTGTCCATTTGAAGGGACAGTACCAGTGGGAGCCCTTTTGATTTGGGTGGAACAAGAAGTAATTGAAAAAAAAAGGTGTCATAAGGACAAACTGGAAAGTTTCTCAAGAAATCAAAGCAAGGAAGAAGCCTCTTGTGAATATGCACGCATTTTGCAGAGAGAGGAAAAGGAATCATGAGCTAAGGTATGAAAGTCTCTTGGAAAGCAAATCTCTGGCATGATGGTGCAGGTACTGACAACCACTGAGGCAAAGTCCTTCTATTTTATCCTAAAAATGCAAGGTTTAGGACATACGCAACAGAACATAGCCCATGTGGCTACCAAAATGCTCTTCCTCCTCAGTCCAGTAACCTCTGCAGAGTTAGGAGAGGGCCCTTTCAGCTTGACGATACTAGTAGACTTCAATTCACATAAGTTAATATAACATCAGTAAAACAACAGTTGACCATGTGACAGCCAATGCAACGGAGATGGTTAAGGAAGAGCTAACTGTCAACAAAGTGCTCTGACATTCACAGTGAAGGAAAGCCTAAATAAGGTGGGAAGGGAACAACGCTGACACTTTTCAACATCTTCATGTTCCAATCCAGGGTGCAGTATTTTGAAGACCACATTATTTTATGATTACAAGATTAGGTTACTGCTTTCTATGGGTGTAATAATGTCATTTGCATGTCCTTACTCTTAACTGTGTTTTGCTAAATACGCAGGAAGGAGAAAGGGTAGCATGTTGTAGACTGCTTTTTACAAAGAGACAGAAATACCTACAAGGAGTCTATGAGCCTGCCACAAAAACTGAGAGAGAAAATACCTCAAATATCCACTTGTTCTCAACAGAAAGAGAAACAATCAAAAAACCAAACCAGCCAACCAAACTGGGATAGTGTAGTTTTAGCAAGAGTATCCTGGTTTCATTATATCATGACAAACACACACAGAAGCCTACTTCTGAGCATACCCTAGAAGCAGGGGACATTCAATATTTCTATTTGCAATCATTTCTATAAGAGCATAAGATATAAAGAGAACATAAGGTAGAACTGTGAAGAGACTGTATGAAAGTGTGGGAAAACAACAAATGCAGACCCAAAAAAAGGAAAGGTAAATAAAAAGGTAAGTCAATGAGATCCACATGCAAGTTGTAACTACACTACCTATTGCTGTCCTCAGCTATTTATTTTCCATTTTAACTTCTACTGTTAATGTCAACTGGTTTCCTTATCTTTCCTGTACATCTGTGTTTGATACTTTCAAAGGCCCCAAATTAACAGATAAAAATAACAGAAAAAAAAAAAGGGGGGGGGGAGGGAAGGAAGTTTTCTAATACGTGATTTCAAGTGAAAATCCAAGAACAGTAAACTGTATGTATTGACAACTAAAATTGGTGAATAGGCAAAGGAAAAACTGATATCTTTTCAAATTTATTTTATATTTGTCTATAGCATATTGAAGTTTTTAATAGCAACAAGTAGCTCACAACGCCTATGCAAGTTCAGAACGTAATGCTTTATTTTCGCTGACAGTTTAAGAGCAGACTGTAAAGTACCAAAGTTAAAAGTTTGGCAGAACGCTGTTTCAAGGCAATATAACACCAAGGATATTTCTGGATATTTAAAAACTCAGGTTTCCAGAAGAGAGTTAAAAGTAGTTTCTGGTGATGTACCACAGTCTGCCATGTTTGCAGCTTTACACATAAAAGGTGTATTGTTTAGAAATTATTTTCCCTGTCCTGAGCAAACATCCACTTACAGAGTGGGGAGAAATACTGTGCAGTAGACACACACTGGAAATCCTTCACAAACAAAAATTTATGCTTGTGCTAGTCACACATGCCAGAAGGCCCAGATAGGGAAGCCAGGTAAAACACTTTCAGAAGTGACAGTGACTGCTAAGTGTCTCCCTAAAATGGGCTTTTTACTTCCAGAAATAATAAAGTTTACACTAAAAAAAAACCCGAACAAAATAAAACAAACCAAAACCAACAAAAAAAAAAAACCCACAACCCTGAAAAAGGGAACCAAACCTTTTTTTTTTAACAGTTAAACAAACGCCTTGGCCATCATACAAATGGCTCAGCTTCAGCACCACTGTGGTACAAATTCCTCTAACCATATGGGAAATCTATCAAAATAATGCATTCTGCAAAACTGATAAGGAAAAGGAATGACCCAGCTTGACTCTCACAGATTGTTCTCCCCGGCAGGAGGTTAGAAACAATCCTTTTTGTTCAAACACTATTTTTATAACTCTCAACACCATTTTACAAAACAAGCTAAGAATACCTTCACAAAGCAAAGCTACATTTTAAAATTAGCTGCTGATTTTAGTATATTGCAATTAAAAAAGGATCGTGAACTCATCAACAGGGATCACGTTGCTTCTTTGTTATGCCTTTTCCCATTCTCTATGCTCCTTCTCAACTACTTGTGCTCTCAAAACGCCTTATGATGCAAATTTCACCAGACTCCTGTGAATTTCGGTAGATGACATCATCAGGTGAAAACCACTATTAGTCAGTGCCGTTTCCTGACCACGCATAAAATGGTGCAGACAGCACAGATGAATCAAACACGAGCTCTTAAAACATTATTCACTTGCTGCTACAGCGTCCCCAAAAGTTTGCCGCGGCCCGAAGAAGGGAGCCAAACCCCCTATTTTGCCTGTTTCTCCCCGGATGTGAACTTCCCCAGCACAAACTGAAGCTTAGGGTAACACCAAGAGCGTAAGCAGAAAATGTTAACAGCCAGTTTCGCACAACGGCCTCCTGCACCGTGCAGCCGAAAGCACTCATGCCAGGGCCTGCAACAGCCCATTATGAAGCGCGTCCTGCCCAAGGTATGGATTACATACGTGGAAGCAACACCAGTCCCCAGCCTCCTCCGTTCCTGTGGCCCGGGCCGAGGCGGCTTCGCCACCGCGAAGGCGAGGCGTTGAGGGGGAGCGGGAGCGGTACCCCCAGCCCCTCAGCAATACCCCTGGTCCCCGTCACGGGAAGGGCCCTACAAGGTCGCTGCCCCGGGCAGGGGGACCTGGGCCGGCCCCGCCGGCACGGCGATGAGCAGGGAAGAGCGCAACAAAGGCCTGCTCCCCACACGCAACCCGCCCGCCAGCAATGCTCCCCTCCCGTTTCTCCCCAATCTCTCTGCCCGGGCTGGTACGTACCGAAGCGCGGCGCTGGCTGGGAGGCACGGCGGGTCTCATACTGCCGGGACGGGGGGAAAGGTGTGACTGTCACCGGTGCCCGGCGGGAGGCGTATGCGGCGAGACCGGGCGGTGGCGGAGCCGCATCGCTGCCCGCGACAAGACCCGCTGCCGCCCCTCCCCCTCGCTCGGTACCTCGCGGCTCCCGTACGGCCCCGCTGCCGCCACCGCTCCTGCCGCCGCCGCCGCCGCCGCCGCCACACTTCCGGGCAGGGAGGGGTCACACTGCCACACGCCGTGCCGCTTCCATCCGGGACTTTCCGCGTGGTCCCGCCCTCTCCCCCGCGGCGCCCGGGGCGGGGCTTGCGAGTGGCTCATGGGGGTGGGGTTGCTGAGGTTATGGTTGAGGTGCGCTCGGTGCCTTTGCTGCTGTTTTGAGTACCGGAATGGGGCGGGCGTGTGGTGTCTGGGCGCCTTAGGAAAGGCTCCGGGTGAGGAAGGGTGGTGCTGGGGGTAGGGTAGCTCAGGGGTTTGTACTGTGAGCTTTCGGTGGCTTCGGAAGTGTTGCCCTGGAGCCAAGTGTCCGGGGATCACCCCCCGCGACCAACTGGCTCACGCTGCGGGGCGAGATGGGACTTCTGAGGACGTCTTACTTGTCTGATTCAAGAAGTTGACCTGAAAGTGCCATTCGTGAGGGCCAGCCTTCTACCAGGTATCAGGACCTGACAAGAACCAACACTGTAACTGCTCACCTACTTACAGTGCTGATGTTGAGCTCAGCACCTTACGTGGTGCACAGATCTGCTCTGTGCTCTTTGCTGGCACAGGCGTGGCTTTCGAGCCTTTCACTCCACAGCTCCCTGACTGGGGAGCTTCTGTTCCCGCCCACATGTGTTCACCACCACCAGTTTCGAGAGCTGTTGGTCAGATCTGTTTCTTTCAGCCCAGGTGGGATGAATTTCCCTAGATCATTGACGTTATCTTCCTAGTTGCTTCTGAAAATAAATGATGTTATAATTGTAAGTTCCATATACAGTACTGCAGACTTCTTTGTGGAGGGTTGGAAATAAGCAGTATGTTTTGTTTTTCTAAGGGCCAGGGCTCTAAGGAAAATACAATCTATAAAGACAATTAAGACTCAGTGACACCCTAATTGCATCCCTTGAGAATGAGCGCTAAGAATACATATACACAGTATTGTGCTGTGTAAAGATACCCAAGCTACCAAGGTCTCAAAATCAATACAGCTGCATTAGTGAGGCACAGAGCCCTGGATAATTCATCCTGCAAAGGAAAAATGCACTGACGGCCGTACTGCTTTTGATATTACTAGTTCAGTCAGAACTATTTCAGGAACCTGTCCAACACTGAGCTGTATTTTCAAGTGGCTCAGCATTTTTTGTTTGTTTGGAGCCTTTTTTAAGCCAGTTCTTGTAGGAAATATCATTACAGACACAACCAGGACTTACTTCGTATAGCTAAACAGGATGCTTGGGGGGGGGAACAGACGAGGCTGTTACCTTTTGTATGGCCCATTACTTGGAAGAAATCACAGTATATCTTTGTTGGTTGTATGAGACACGTGTAGAACACAGACTACCAGGATTCTTGATGTTGTAAGCTAACAGTTCAGTGCTTGGAGACACTTTTGCAAATGTAAAGAATATCCACTCTTTTATGAGTCAGAATTCAGTCTCTGCTACTGGAAATCAGGGGTGTACTCCTAGTTGTAACTGAAGAGTCTGTAATGGGAATCTTATGATTTAGAGCAACTTAGCACACCGGAAATGCAGTGAGCAAAGTGAACCTTTGTATATGGTAACTAACCACCATCTCTGTTAAATCCCCCTCTTGGAAAAGTCTGCAAAGATGGATCATTAACAGGAACTGTGAAAAACACAAGCGTATTTGTCAGCAGACAGAAGGTGAGATTACAGCTCATGCATCCCTTGGGCTGAAAAGTTCGTTTGCTCACTCTCAGATATATAATATTCGTGTGTGTGTGGGCAAATGCCACAGAAGGGTGCGTAGATGGTTGCCAAGCAAAGCAACTACCACTTTCCAGATCTGGAGTCTCCAGTCAATTTTAATAGAAGTTTATTTTCCTGTACTTTTCATCCACTGCTCAATCGTATTTCCTGCTATTCCCCCTTGGGTGCTCATTTTCATACCCTGATCTTGTTTCTCACCTCAGTGCTAAATTAAAGTGCACTGTATAGTACCAGCCTCTTGTGTCACATTAAGGTGAAATATTGTCACATCATGATGCATTGGTATTAATTGTATTATGGCAACACTTGGTGTGTCAACTGAGGTAAGTAGCCCTTTATGCCAGACTTTTTATGAAACATATGAGACAAAGTTTGTAATCTAATTAGGCAGGACAGAAAGTATTAGAGAAAAACAAGATAAGGTGAAATGATTAAGCGCATCTACAGAACAAAGATTTTGTCAGACACCAGAGGACGATGAGACTTTCCTGGGTCCAGAGTGAAAGCCCGAGACTGTATTTTCTCAAACTATATAGGGAGGCCCCACAAGAATATGCTGTTACAATATAGACTACTTTCTGGCAGAAACTTGGGAGTATTTATACTTTTCAGGGCTTTTAAGGAGAAAGTGCTGTGTTACTTTATTGTCTAAAAAGATATTAAAGCTAAAAGAACAAAAACACTGTTGTAGAATTTCTTTCCTTCCGGATTCTGCTGGGACAGAGCAATGTTTGCACTGCACTGTGGTGGTGCCATCCTGCATTGGGAAACCCTCATATTTAGAACAGAATAAAAGATAATAGAGTAGAATAAATATTTTAAGTTGGAAAGAACCTCAATGATCATCCAGTCAAACTGATGATATCCCTTGGCTACACCCATAGAATAGGTAGGATTGGAAAGGACCTTAAGATCATCTAGTTCCAGCCCCCTTGCCATGGGCAGGGACACCTCACACTAAACCATGCCACCCTCACACTAAACCATGCCACCCAAGGCTTCGTCCAACCTGGCCTTGAACACTGCCAGGGATGGAGCATTCACAGCCTCTCTGGGCAACCCATTCTGGTCCCTCACCACACTAACAGTAAAGAATTTCTCCCTTATATCCAATCTAAACTTCCCCAAGTTTTAACCCATTACCCCTTGTCCTATCACTGCAGTCCCTAATGAAGAGTCCCTCCCCAGCATCCCTATGGGCCCCCTTCAGACACTGGAAGGCTGCTATGTCAATCTGGATGTCTTCTCAAGGGCTGACTTTCAATAATTCTCTGGATTTCTTTATAGAATAATTTTACTTACGAGTGCTCCTAGAAAGAATAAGGAACCATGTTAACATACAGTTATAAAAGGATTAGTATTTGGAGATTTTAAGTGCTGTAGTCTAGGTAAGCATCACAGTCTTTTGTCCTTTCAGGGTGATCAAGTTTCAAGCTGCTGGGACTATCACCTTAGATAAACTTTTGAAATGCAACTTCTGTCTGCTGTGTATTAGATACCAGATTTGCCGTTTTTCTGTTTGAAAGAGAGAATTTATTCTGGGTTATTGACCAGGTTCCCTCACCCTTGTTTTGTGATATGAGGTGAACTGCCTGAATTCAGTTGCTATATATGATGGTGTTAACCCTCAGAGCATGTAAAATAGACTTCTTTTAAGTATTTGGTATATGAGCAGTCCCACAGATTTAGGGAAAGTAGTTGCATATATAAACATGTGTTTAAATGATTTTCAGGATAAAGTTACAAGTGGAAGTCATTTTCTGCCCAATAGATAGCCACATTTCAATTGTGAAATTATATATCCTAATTACAGATTCCTTATAAACCTCACTGAGACCTTTTTGGTGAAAGGAAGCATTATACACACATGCATATGTGTGTAAGCACATGACTGCAATGTTTTGAAGGTTCACAAATGTTTATATCATTAAAATAAGCTTTTTGAAAGACACTCAAGACAAGAATTTAATCTCATCTATTTTTTTAACCAAGTTAATTATTTTTATTTACTTGTGCTAGCAAAATCAATGGTAAACCTCCCAAGACCATGCTAGTGTCACATGCTTTCTGTTTTCCTTTCCTGTCTGTTGTGTAAGCGAGAGCACTTTCTGGAGGAATCATGATAAATCCATAATATTTTACTTTACCCTATTTACTTTTAAAAGAGCAAGTAGACAGCACTGCAAATGCATTGCCAAGATGTATGGGTGATTTTGCACTAAGTAAATGAAAAGCATGATCTAGCTGATAAAAATCACAATTTTATGGAGAGTTTTAAAATTTCAGCAGGGAAGTATTTAGTCTTTTCATAATATAGTGGCTTTGGAATTTGAATTTCTTTGAGGAATTTAAAATTCTAGAGTATTAAGGCATTACCTAATTTAGATTGATTTTTCAATATTCTTTTTATATTTTCCTTCTAGATTTTCTTCCTGAATAGGAAAATAATAAGACTTGTTAAACTGCAGCAAACAACTAATTTCTTACAAGTTAGTGATGTGACTCTGAATTTGTTCAGTAATGTTTCAAAAGAGTGTGTATTCACTTGAAAAGGTCCATCTTTTGAAACAGCACCCTTCACTGTAAAATATATTCTAGTTTTTGCAGAAAGGTTTTAACAAACACACAGTTTCTTCTGAAGGAGGAGAGTGATGTATGAGTAAGCAGTGTTCCAGTGGCCTTAGCAAAGAGCCTGCCAGTGTTGGGTGAGTCAGATTCAGGTCTCGATCTCCCAACTTTCACATCACAGTTAAAACCTTAACCACTAAGCTACTGCCTGATACACAATTAGCATCTTGCCTGTTCTTCTCTTTTTATACTTTGTATAAACAAACACTAATTTTAGCAGAGACTTGAACTTGGGACTTCCAATCTTTACCTTAGCTCAGCAGCTGTTCTGTGTGAGCTTCTCTTTCTTATTTCATTCAAAATAAATACTTAAAACATTTTCATGCGAAACTTTCGCAAGGCAGTAAGTGTTTCCCACACAATTTTAGCTTTTCAAGACTTTTTAGTTCAAGGAACACATATATTAATAGCATTCTAAACTAATAGAATAGAATTTGCTTTCTATTGTCATATTCCTTTCCCTCAGTTTCTTTCTGTGTTTACTGTATTTACTGTTATGTTTTAAAATAGATAGTAATGGCTTCAAAGCAGGCATCATGTCTTCCTATGAATATTTCTTTAATGCATAGTGGCAGAAAACTCACTGGAGATTGGTTGCAGCATTATATGGTATTAATTTTTTTGCAGAATGGCAGGCTGCAAATTGCTTACAATCTTTGTTTAGTTCCTCCTCACTCTTCTTTAACACATTAGCACCATTTTCTTGTCCAAAAATATTTCCAGATTCCTTTCTGTCATCCACCCCTACAAATCTTCCATTTTTTCCTTATTTTTCCTTCATGCACTTTTAAGTTGTTGAATTCATATTTGCTAGAACTCTGCAACTATGACTGTGTGCCTGTGCCATGTGTCCCAGGTTCTTTCTACACCACTGCCATTGCAGTGTCACTGAAGATCACAAATAAGGTAGCAAACCAGTGATATTATTTGAGATATGCTTTTATATATTTTTATATATATTTATATTTAAATATCTTTTTATATATTTTATATATATGCTCAATAAGACACATAACTGACAGCTACTATGGCTTCCAAGTTCATGTTCTCTGATGCAATTATGACATGTTTACAGTTCTTTCAAGTTAAAGAACCCTTTCCCCCTGACACACGTGTACAGTGAGACTTTTTTTCATAATGAAAAGTGATAGGCAATCTAAATAGAGGAATTGGTACTGATGGCTATGCATACAGTTAAAAACAAGAACATAAACAGCCATTGTGCTTTATTCAGATTTATTTAGATATACAGTTTCTCAGACCATAACTTGGAAGCTAAATACACTCCTGGATATGGTAAAATTTTTATAAGTATCTAGTGGGAAAGATGATTCTTTTGGGGGTAAATTTAATAGATTCTTTTCAGATCTTGCTAAAGCATGAGAAAGCCTGTTTTAAGTTCTTTGCAAGTCAACATTCCTCTCATTTCCAACAGAACAATAAAAATCAAACCGTACTTTTAAGTGTAATGCCAAACCTTTCCTCTTCTACTACCTTCTACTCTTCAAAAAGCAATAAAACACAAAGTGGCATACCCTTCTACAGATTTTTTTGTTAAAGAGAGTCTGGAAACTTCTTTTTTGCACCTGAATGCAGTAATAAATAGCAAATTTTGTTTTGTGGCTTATACTTATAAATTTGATAATAAAGCCAAATGCATATTTTCCTCATTTCAATACCAAGTTAACTGCAAAAATGCTTTTAGAAGTCACTTTCATAAAGAGAAGAACAAGCATGAGTTCTGAATATTACGTGGGCCCCAGACATCATCACTTACAAATTCAAATGAAACCAGCATCTGAACATGATTCAGTTGGCTCAAAGAGAATACAAATAGATTCACAGAAGAATCAGTAGATTCTTTGCTGAATGAAGATCAAGTTGCTAAGGCATACCTCAGTTCAAAATGTAAGGAAAACAAATTGAGCTTCATTACCCTTTTTGTTTTTTAGCATGGAGTGGTAAGTATATAACTTTTATTAATGATTAAAGTAAACCAGCGCTCAGTCATTTCAGTAAATGCCTATTTTTGCACCTGCCAAGTATACAGGATAAGTGACTGGATATTTATGGATTTTTATGCAATTGTTATAATTTGCTCATGGACTTATGAGGTACACATGCAATTGCCTATTTTGTTCCATTCTGCATATTTCAGGGGGAAAAAAAAAAAAGGTATTATTCCGTTTTGCCCTCTATTGTGCAAATTTTTGTACATATGGAAAACAATGGATTTGGGAGAAATATTAAATTGAAAGCTCAGTGCTTTCATGTTTTATACATAAGTTGACCTCCATTCCTAAGGTTAATTAACCCTAATGAAACATGCTTTTATTGTGTTTGAAACAGCATTTTTGTTTGACCACAAACTACTTCCCTCTTCCCCTAATTTTTTTTAGGAGAAATGCAAGCATTCTACTGGCTGGTTTTTTATATTTTTTTAGTTTCGCCATCCCCCCAAATTATAATTTACACAATTTTATTCACCACCATTGCCTATACTTGATCTGGTCTTTATAAAGTTTAAGTAGTTAAAATGTAAAGGTGCAGCTATCCTTCAAATAAAGTTAATTTAAAAGAGTGCTGGACCATATACTATATATAATAAGCAATACTTATATATATAATAATATGTAATAGTAATAAGAATAGCATAACCTGTGCAATAAGTATGAGTTTCGATTGGAAACTCTTCTAAGGAGAATGGTTCCTGTGTTTTGCTGGAAAGATGTGGGCTCACTGAATTTCATCTCTAAGAAATATTGAATAGTTGTATAATAAATAATTCACCGTTTGTTATGAATAGAAGATAGATACCAAGCTTGACTAGAAGGATAGATACCATGCTGAAAACACGGAACAGCCCCATGATGATTTCTAATGGAGTTAATATAGGAAATTTTGATGTAGCTAACTTTTTTGCTTTAATACAGTTACAGGAGTTTCTTGCCTATTTCTGTTTATTTTGGCATCTATTTGGATTGAACACCTTTTTACACATCATTGTGTGCTTTAAATAGTGTAGTCCTCATTAGCACAGATTTTGCACTGTTGATGTTTTCATATTGTTAATTCTTCTTTCTGGCAAGCATTTTGTCTCAAGACAAATTATGATTCATAAGCAGAAGAGCTTCCTTTTGCTCTGGGATTCAACAGGCCAGCATGGAAGTATCCTATTCCTAGAGAAAAACTACTCATGAATAATGTAGTATGACTACAGCATATCCTTCAGTGGTGGAGATCTTTCGTCTGTGTAGGTAGCTTAAGACTGGTGGTCAGGAAAAGGTAGTTTAAGGCAGATAACAGTCTTCTGAGGCAGATTTTCTCTGGCATAGATATATATAGTGATAAAACATTACAATTATTTTGCAGTGCTGTAATTGGATGCAAACTTCGTCTGAGATTTTAGCTTTCAACTCCTTTATACCAAATTTACATAACACAAATGTTAATTAGTGAAGAAAATTATACAGGAAACTCTCACACATTATGGTTAGACAAAGCCAAAAATACCACTTTTATCAAAAGGTGGCTTTTTTTTTTTTTTAACAGTCTATTGACACCATTGATTTGGAAAGATGTGAAATTCTCAGTAATTATATATCATGATATGGTGTATTTGCTTGCAGATTTCATTCTGTATCTATTAATTAAAATAGAATTTTCAATAGTTTTCCCATACATATAGTAAAAGTCCACTTTTCTTGCAACTCGAAGCTGAGCTGTTTAAATTCTTTTGACTTTTTCTTGTTTCATACTTTGACCACTTTACATTAAATACTTGAAGTTTTGAATCTGGTATTTTCTTGTGGCTGTTCTATGCTGAAGTATCTCTATTGATTTCAACAGAATTATCCAGAGTGGTATAGAAGCTGGTTCGGTAACGGTCATATCCAAAAAGCAGGAATTTACTATAGAACAATTGCAACATATTATATGTAAATTCAGAAAATGTAAATAATACATCAGAACTCACTACTTTGTAAGTCCTGGTGTTAAAGACCACATAGCTACATAGCTAATATTACCAGACAGGACAGATAGCTTGCACTTCAGTTTTTAAGAGCTAGAATGTAATATATCCTTTCAATTTTAGTGTTTCAAGGTGTTTTTACAAGCACATTAGGTAGTTAATTAAAAAGAAAAAAGGTAAATATGTTCATCCCGGATAACTACCTTAAATTGCCTTTAGGTGCCAACAGAACTCGAAGTGTGTTATCTCAAAGTCATTGGCTATCATGGCTGAAGAATGTCTTCTAAGAACACAGTCAAAGATCAGATTTGTCATCTAAAACCTATTTGGTCCTGCAAGTTTTAGAATAATAGAGGATGACAGCAGCATCTCCTGTTCAAAGGAAGCTGTGATCTCATAAACATCGAATGATGAGATTCTGAGTCATAGCTCCCTAATGGTAATTTTAAGGTCACTGCTGAATATGGTCAGTTTATTTTGAGAGAAAAGAAACAATACCTGGCAAGAAAGAAGAAGAGAGATCAATTGGTGCAATACATACGTCTGGTTGAGTTAATCAAAGTGCCTTTGAAATACTTTTGATTTGTGGCTTTGGTGTTCTGTTGTTCTAGAAATCTGTTCTAATTTTTTCATCCCATACTCTATGAAGGAATTAATGAATTCTGTAACATCTGGGTAGAGGATGATTTAGTTTTAGTACTTTGATCAGTCTTTGTTGACAAAGCTTCATCAGCCATTACTGAGATTATTTTTTTCTATGTACGGTCATCAGTGTGGCTTCTCTGAAACCTTTCGAGCACCTGTCTGCAAGTGGTTAGTTTGCATCAACAGTGGAAAAATGCAAACCAAAAAGCTCAAGACACACTGGAGAAAAACCTCCCATCTACAATTTAAAAGAGGACTCATAAGTCACCTATGCTGAAAACAGGTTATGGTGGCATGTTTTGATTAATATAAAGAAACCTATAGAAGTAGATGCTTTCCGAAGTGTTATTGCTGGTCCTGGGAAAAGAACTTGTCTATCCAAATTACGAAAAGAAGAAATAAATAGGATTAACCTGCAGAATGCAGGCTATAGAATTTCATTAGACAATTCTCATGTCAAGCCTAGTTACACTTCACCAAAGTCATGTATTGCTAATAAGCACATCAGTTTTTATTTCCAAGATTTTGTGCAAGGAAATGACCTTTCATGTATGTTAAGACCGTGGAGTTACAGACCAACTCAAAGCCTAGAACAGTGGGGGAAATTTTGTGTTGGTATGATATCTTTGTCAGAACAACTGTATAGAAAGTGAAGGAAAATAGATTTTTGTCTATAGG